CTTTTGGGTGTTGTATTTGGCTACTGGGCACCATGACCATGATGTTGTGCCTCAGGGTTCAACATGGTATCTAGCAAAATCATTCTTTAATTTTCATTCTAGTTTCCACCCCAACCCTGTTCCCAGGACACATGATAAACAGCATGTTATACTCAGAATGGTCCCTTCCCATCTGATGTCACTGGATTATCAAGTTCTTCTGCCCGAACTTCTCCCCTGTTTTTCATGTTCACTGCTTGAGCTCATGTTCATGAGCTCATTTAGCCAATTCACTATTTACCCAGATATCTACTAACATAAGGTATAGATTCTGATACCAAATCCCCATTTTTAGTTCATCAAGGCAACTGACTCCTAAGAGGGAGAGGATAATGTCCAGGTGTGTAGGCAGAAAGTTAAGGGAAGTGTTTGGCTGATTCATTCATTCATTATTCAATCCCATCTAGTTCTTCTGCAGCTTGGGGCAAACTTCTCTGTTTGGTGAGATGGTTGCTGAGCCCTCACTAACTTCGTAACTTCATTTTCTGCTGAAGGTGGCCATGGGCTGAGCTCTCTAGTGTTCAGCAGGATGATGATGTGGCTCTGACAAACAGAGCTTACTGCCTGGGAATAGATGCTGAAATGAGATGAAGCTTGAAGAAGTCAGGCTGCGCAGAGGGTTTTGTTTTAATTTTATCCCAAAAGGTGACAGATGGTTGTGAGCTACTCTTCAATCCTCCATACATCCCTGTGACCCTCCTCAGGGTTGCCTCCTGCCCTGGATCTTATGGAAGATCCAGGTCTCAGGCAGACATGTTGCAACCACCCAAGGGGTTCACTTTGCCTGCTGCCTAGACAGAGCCAGTTTCTCAAGACAAAGGAATTACAATAGAGAAAGAGTAATTCACACAGAGTCAGCAGTGTGGGAGACTGGATTTTTATTGTTACTCAAATCAGTCTCCTAGAACATTCAGGGAGGAGAGTTTTTAAGGACAACGTGGGAGGTAAGGGGAAGCCAGTGAGCCAGGAGTGCTGATTGGTCAGCAATGAAATAATAGGCAGTCGAAACTGTCTTCTTCCACTGAGTCAGTTCCTGGATGGGGGCCACAAGATCAAATGAGCCAGTTTATTGATCTGGGTGGTGCCAATTGATCCATCACATGCAGGGTCTGCAAAATATCTCAAGCACTGACCTTAGGAGCAGTTTAGAGAGGGTCAGAATCCTGTAGCCTCCAGCTGCATGACTCCCAAACCATAATTTCTAATCTTGTGGCTAATGTTAGTCCTACAAAGGCAGTCTAGTCCCCAGGCAAGAAGGAGATCTGCTGTGGGAAAGAGCTGTTATCATTTTCGTTTTAAACTATAAATTATACACTAAGTTTCTCCCAAAGTTAGTTCAGCCGAATGAACAAGGACAGCTTGGAGGTTAGAAGCAAGATGGAGTTGATTAAGTTAGATCTCTTTCACAATTTTGCAAAGGTGGCTTCAGTGTCAGTCTGGCAGCTTTACATCAGGGTGAGATCCACAGAACTACAGATTTCACTGTGAGTGGGAGCTCTGTACTGAGCTGCCTGGTTGTCACCAAAGCAAAGCTCTTTGCTTCCTTTTTCTTTCTCTTCTACGTTATTTCTCTTCCTCCATTAAAAAAAATTCTTTTCTTCTTTTTCTCTCTTGTCTCTATTTCTCTTTTCTTCTTTGCTTCTAAGAGTTCTGTATCTTCCCTTCTCTGTCTTTGTACAATTCATTTGACACATTAGATGCATCTATGTAACGGGGTATGTGTTAGGGGATGGGAATATAAAGGTGAGTAAAATGAGATCCTGTTTTTCTGTAACTTAGTTCATTGTTGGCATCAGAACTACAACCCACAAAATAAAAAGAATCACTAAGAGAGTCTGGCATTTCAGGTGCTTTATGTACATTCTTGAGTTTAATTGTCCTAAAAAATTAGTAAAGTAAGCATTTCATTTAATGGGTGAGAAAATTGAGGCTCAGACAGGATTGCAATTAGACAATGGGTGGACAAAGCCCCTGCATCCTGTTTCTAACCCAACCCTTTCTCATTTGCTCTTCTCTTTTTTCTGTTTGTTATTCCCATTCCGCTTCCTTCTCCTCCTTAACACCCACTCCTGTTATCTACATTTTTTCAAGCCCCTTTAGTTCATCAAGGCAACTGACTCCTAAGAGGTCCCTTGGGAGGGGATAATGTCCAGGTGTGTAGGTAGAAAGTTAAGGGAAGAAATTTTCCCTTTCAAATTCTCCCTCTGTGCTGCTGTTTCTCTAGCTTCCTGTTTCTCCCATGTCTTTTATCTCCACATTCTGAATTCCCTCCTCCTATTTCATGCTCTCTGCCCTTTTCTCTCTTTCTTTTCCCTTCCTTTCTTCCTTTGGTTCTTTTTGGTATTCTTGGACTATCTTTTTCTTCTCTCCTTTCTTCATTCCACCTATATCACTTATCTCAAGGACTCTCCCTCCCCGTTCCCCATGTCTCTCTTTGTCTCTCAATCTTCCTGGCTCTGTCTCTTGCTCCTTATTCCCGCCCTTCCTACCTCTGCTTCCCCCAGTGGCTTTCTTCTTGCTCTTCTGTTCCTTGTCTTTCCACCCTAGCCAAGAAGGACAGTGAAGTTCTGTCTTATCCATTTGTTTTTTGTTTGTTTGTGGTTTTTTTTTTTTTTTTTTTTTTTGCTCTCTTTCCCCTTTATTTCTTCCTGTTGTTCTTGTTTCTAACTGTTCTTTGGCTTCTCTTCTTCTTTGTATGACTCTTTCTCCCTCTGTTTCTTTCTCTGAGTCTCTGCTTTATTTTTTCTAAAGATTCCCTCCTATTTGTGTTCCTTTTTTGACCCTCCTTTCCTCCTTCTTTCCTTCTTCCCTTTTGCCCATTTATCACTATTATATTTTCTTCCTTCCTCTCCATCCACTCTCCTTTCCCCATTTTCCTTTCTTACTTTCTCCTCTGCTGTGATCTGCCATCTCCCCTAGCCACCCTAGCCAAGAAAAACAGTGAAGTCCTGTAGCTGCTACCTCCTTCTTTTTGGCTTGTGGGTTTCTGAAGCTGCGGCTTTTCCCTGTTCTGGGGCCTCTCCTCGGCTGCTCCCCTCTGGGCAGTGTTAATAGGTCCAGGCTTGCAGGAGCATGACCTTGGCTGTCATATTCGCAGCACTGAGAGAGGCCAAAGAAGTCAAGACCCCACTCCCAGGGAGAGGGGTCATCTTGAGGAACATCCAGAGTGGGGCCTGCTGCTGCGTGAAGTCAGAGTCCATGTGGAACAAACTGTTTTTCCCTTAACTCCTCCTCTCTCCTCCCGCACATGTGCAAAGGCACCCCTTTGAAAAATCCTGGTAATGGCGAATTTTATGATGGAGGAGCTCCCATGATCATGCTCTCTCAGGCCTCTGGAACTGTGAGCCACAATATTAGAACTTTCAGCTCTAATATTGATCAGGCAGCCTCTAAGAACCCTTTAGCTTGGCCTTATGTAGGCAACAAGAAGATTCGAGTCTGCCTGCATTCTCTTTGCAATGATTCCTGAATACTCTTGCTTATACCTCCTTCTAGGGAGTGACTATGTGTGTGGTCAGTGAGTATTCTCCATCCAGAATGCATATTTAGCTGAAGCTGAGAGGAGGCCTTATTGTGGGTTGGTCCTTTGCTGTGTATCCCACATTGCCCATGTCTCAGCTGAGGTGGTGTTCCTGATATAGCTGCTTCTTGGGTTAGGTACTGATTAAGCCAGAAAAATTATGATCGCTAATGTGAGCTAATCAGGATGGACACAGTGGCAAGGTCTGGGACCATATGAGTAATCTACCTGTTGCTGAGCCTGAACCTACAACCAGTGCGTTCTCTGATAGGCTCTGTGCATGTTGCTAGGATTGTGTGAGGCTGCACCTTTATCTACATGGATGAAGACTGTAAGGGAAAGCCACAATTGACCCCTGGAGTCAGAGTTGAGAGAGAGAAATTGTTTCTGGGAGAATCCGGAAAGCTTCTGGGAAAAGATGGCTTTTGGGCTAGCCCCCGAAAGATGGATTTGCTTTAACAGTTAGAGATGGGGAGAGAAGCAGTGGAGGTCTCTTGGAGGTTTCGTTAAAGCTGGTCGGTAGATCCTAGGCTTTGCTGGATAGGAAAATTCTGATATGAAATTAATAGGCCGGGCACAGTGGCTCATGCCTGTAATCCCAGCACTCTGAGAGGCTGAAGTGGAAGGACCACTTGAGCCCAGAAATTCAAGACCAGCCTGGGCCACATAGGGAGACATTGTCACTACAAAAATAATAAAAAATATTAGCAGGCATGGAGGTGCACACCTGTGGTCCCAGCTTCTTGGGAGGCTGACGTGGGAGGGTTGCCTGAATCCAGGAGGTTGATGCTGCAGTCAGCCATGATCATGTCACTGCACTCTAACCTGGGCAACAGAGTGAGACCCTCTCTTAAAAAAAGAAAGAAAGAACAAAATTAATAGGTGTGTAGTATGAAGTAGGGATGAAGTACCGAGGGAATTTCTGGGCTCATAACTTGAAGGTAGAAATCTGTAGGCGCTTGGAAGGTAGGAATCCTTGGCAAAGTTGTGGCTTGTTTAGTCGCAATGGTCTGCAGCGAGAACATGGTGATGTCAGAGTAAGATGCCAAGGTGTGGCTTGCCTGTAGTCATTAAAAGCGTGGGCTTCAGAGTCAGACCAGTCAACATAGCATTTTGGTGCTGTGTGGGTTTGGTCAAGTTCTCTTTGAGTTTGTTTCTTTATCCTTTAAGTGGCTATAACCATGGAATTTACCATATAGATAATTATACTAAGATTAAATGAGATAATGCATGTCAAGCACTTAGCATAGTGCCCGTACATAGTAGTTGCTCAATAAAGTTTATCTGGTATTAAGTTATACAGATTATTGATTTTTTGCAGCATACTTTATCACTCAAGAATTACATAGTAACCTAACATTGTTCCATAACTATGTTTAAAATGATTACATTGTTGCTTTCCATGACTTTCTATTTTTTTTATTTTTATTTTCAGCTGTACCTGCTGGAATGGGACAACTTTCTTTCTATCCCATCTTCCTTCGGTCAGATCCCCTCAGCTGCCCACGCCTGCCCTCACCCTGAGCCTTTCTGCTCTACTTTGATGGTTTTCTCAGGTTCTGGTAAGGGGTTTATTCATTTACTTTTCTCTCAGGCCCTCTTTTCACATGTGACTAGTTGGTCAAGACTTTGTGCAATCTCTTCCCATCTGGATCGTTTCCTGAAAAAATGTTTTTAAGTTTCTGGTCCGTTCATGACATTATTCCTTGTTGTTCAGGGTATTACCGGTGATTACTCAATATTTTTGAACTTTTTGGTGTTTTTATAAAGTTTGGGTGGAAAAAGAGCTAAGAGTGTGGGCTGCAAAGCACGTTTTGACAGGGACACCTTGGTAAGTTTCCTGCCCCAGTGTGTAGGCCCAAGGGCGTGGCAATTAGGTTTTAAGCATCTTACAATCCTGATTTCAACAGAAGCCCCACTTCCTGCCCGGAAAGCATGTTCTCCTGTGGCTCACGTCCTCACAAAGTTCCCAGTGGACCGAAAGAACACATGGGCTGTCTCCCTGGTAACAGTTAAGCCCTCACGCCTTAACCTCTCAGTCCTTTTATAACTTAGAACAAGGTTTAAATTTTAGCTGAAATTATTACTGCATTCCTCCAGAAGAAACTCATTGTGTGGACATACTGAAATTTATCTAATCGATTGAATCTCCATAGATTTATCTAATCTATTGAACATTTCCATCAGTTTTGATAACTAATGACAGTTGTCAAAATTCCTGTTTTACCTTTAAAAATAAGAGCTGAAACCATAGCCAGTGGGACTACTAGAGCAGGGAGGAAGGGACAGTGGCAAGGGTTGAATAATTATTGGGTACTATGCTCAGTACCTGAACGATGGGATCATTTGTACTCCAAAGCTCAGTACCAAACAGTATACCCAGGTAACAAACCTGCACATATTCCCCATGAATCTAAAATAAAAGTTGAAAAAAAAAATTATAAGATTCTTACCGGGTTAAATAAATAAATAAGAACTGGATTTGCTGCCCCCTTGTGTCTTAGAACAGCCATAACAATATCATCATTTGTATCCGGTCTTACTGCTTACCAGCTGGGGTTTCACCTTGCCTGCTTGCTCAAATTACACCTCGGGGTTTAGGAGACCACATCTCTCAGTTGCAAAGAGCTCTCCTAAGGCAAAGGCTTTTATTACCAGCACCAAGTTCAGCTCTGTCTGACTTTGCTAGGGTTTGAATCATCAGAACAGAAAGAAATTCGGCATGAATAGATTTACCAAGATACAGTCAGCAAGTACTCAGGTACCAAATAGAATGCTTTCAAAAAAGATGTATTTTGTAATGTCATTAACTCAGATACCAAGCGCTACTCAGAAAGCAGGCTAGGCAAATTCATTTTAATGGGTGTTTCATTCTTTTATTTACCTGATGTTACTGAGTGCCAGACACTGTTCTTGGCATTAGAAAACAAAGCTGAACAAATACAATCAGCAAATAGGCAAACAACTACTGCAATATAATGCTAGTTAGTGATAAGTACTAACATGAAAATGAACTAATGGTGAAGAAATAGAGGGTAATAGGGTGATTCATGGAAACCACTCAGGGTGATACGCAGAAACGTGAATGAAGTGACAGCAAGTCATGGGAAGGTCCGGGGAAGAGTGTAGGTAAAAGAAACCTCAAGGGCAAAAGTGTTGAGGTGGAAAGAGTCTGGTATGTTTGAAGAACAGCAAGAAAGTCAGTTTGGTAAGAGCAGAGTGAGGGAGGCTGAAGTAGCAAGAGATGAGATGGAAAGATAGGTAGGGCCTTGTATGTACGACGAGAAAATTGGATATTACTCTGAAAGTGATGTGAATCCATTGCAGAATTGAGCAGGGGAGCAGTATGATTTAAATTATATTTTTAAGCTGTCGTTCTGACTGCTGGGCAGAAAAATGAATCTAGGTGACAAAAAGGGAAGTAGGATGGTAAAATAGAAAATTATTGCTGACAGAAATATTCCCATCACCCTAGAATATAGACTGCCCCAAGACAGAGTTCTTCATTGCTTAGACCTTTGAGTCTTAGGTTAGTGATCACTGGGGTTTGTGTGGGTCATGAAGTTGATGAGAAGCCCTACTGGGCCAGGGCTCTCTTTTCCTTCTCTTGTTACCACATAAAATTTGTATGGGATTCAGCTGATCTTTTTAAAGAAGGATGAAACTCCTGCTTGAAAATTGAGCTTTGGTAGCTGATGAGATGGCCTGTGGACACTCCCCCAGGGTAGATGACCTGCTTAGGAGAGGTGAGGACACTGACACAACAGCTAGACAGCAGGTGAAGGAAGAGCTGGGGAGGGGTTAAGTGCCCTCACCTATTCTTAAATAAATATTTTGAGGTAAGGAGTCTTGTCTTAAAGCTCCTCACATAGACAAAAAGAAGTGAAGGAACTGGAGAATGGGGTGGAGCATAGGGTAGGATGACTAGAAGGTACAGAATTACCATCTTCAAATATCTGAAGGATTATTTTTTTTTCCCCAGAGGGGATTAGCATTGTTTCCTCAGCCTCCCTATACAAAAAAGAATTAAAAAGACAGGGATAATATTTACAACCTGTATTAGTCTGTTCTCACACTGCTAATAAAGACATACCCAAGACTGGGTAATTTATAAAGGAAAGAGGTTTAATGAACTCACGGTCCCACATGGCTAGGGAGGCTTCACAATCATGGTGGAAAGCAAAGGAGAAGCAATGGCATGTCTTACATGGCAGCAGGCAAGAGAGCATGTGCAGGGAAACTCCCATTTATAAAACCATCAGATCTCAAGAGACTTATTCATTTACATGAGAATAATAGGGGGGAAACCACCCCCATGATTTAATTATCTCCACCTTGCCCCACCCTCGACACATGGGGATTATTACAATTCGTGGTGAGATTTGGGTGGAGACACAAGCAAACCATATCACAACCCAAAGCAAGAGAGTAATTTCCATCAGAGTGGCTAATGGTAAGGTAGGCTGCCTTGTGGAATGAGGTTCCATTACTGCAAGCATTCAAGCAACAGTGGGAGGACTGTGGGTGAGTGTGCCAGACTCCTAGGTGGCACCCCAGGATCCTTGCCTCCTGGTGTTCGTACCTTGTTTAGTGAATAGCATTAACTATGTAACTAGTAAGATACTGCAGAAATGACAGTGTTACTTCTGGTACTGGGTTATAAAAGACATTGTGGTTTCTACCTCCCTGGTATTTGGATTATTGCCTCTGGAGAAACCAGTCATCATGTCAGGAGGTGCTCTAGCAGCTTTTTGAAGTGGCCCATGAGACTAGAAACCCGAGGCCTCCTAACAACAGCCAGCAATGCCAATGAGCTGTTTCAGAAATGGATCTTCCAACCCCAGGCAAACCCTCAGGGCATTGTGACCCTGGTCAACATCTTAACTGCATCCTCATGAGAGACCCTGAGTCCAAATGACTCAGTTAAGCTGTGTGTTAATTCCTGACCCACAAAAACTTTATCAGATAATAACTGCTTTGGGTGAATTAAGCCAAGTTTTAGGACAACTTTTTATGTAGCAATAGATAACTAATTTTGTGCTGTACAAGAAATTCACACATCAGTTGGAACTGAAATCAAATGGCTTTCTGAAGCCCTTTTTAGCCCAGATCTTAGGTTTTTGACAGTCACTTTATTGGAAAAGAAGTGAAGTTAGACTCAGCTCCTGGCCATCCTTAAGATATATTTGCCTCTTTTCTCTCTAGCTAATTTTAGCAATCCTCCAGAGCACTGGGCAGCCAAATGTTTCAGCTACCTGGACAGGGCCCAAGGCTGGCTTTCGAGAGATGCCATTACGTTATAGACTTTATCACTTATGTGTTGCTACAGAGCTCATACTGAATAATTCTCTAGACACTGAGAATAGACAATCGCATTAAGTTTTTAAAAATAAAACCATGGATGTTTACATAAATTAGGTGCTTATATGTAATACATACATACATATAAATACATTTACATGTGGATATACCTTTTTAGGCATATATGTATTCAATCAAATAACTCACATGTTATATATGTATGCATAAACAAAATAATCTAGATAGACTTGAATTTCTAGAAATCTGACATTTCTAAAAGTCAACACAGAAGACCACATGCACCTCAAGAGCTGGACAAATACCACCAAATGAACGAAAACCCCTGCTACTGTCTGACTAATAACTTATCAGTTTTACTTGAAGGAGAAGAATAGTCATTAAAGGGCCTCGAACCCTGTAAACATCTCTACCACTGTGGGAGCCTATGAAAATTTGTGTATAATTTTTCTGACTGATGGTCAATTGTAAACACTAATTTAATGCTTGTCTCTGTACTGTGGTCTCCCCTTGTACATGGGAGACACATTCCAAGATCTCCAGTGGATACATGAAACTGCAGATAGTACTGAAACCTATATATATTACATTTTTTTCCTATACACACATACCTATTATAAATTATATGATATATGATAATTTATAAATTACACAGAGTGGGCAGAGTGTGGTGGCTCACGCCTGTAATCCCAGGACTTTGGGAGGCCAAGGCAGGCGGATCACGAGGTCAAGAGATTGAGACCATCCTGGCCAACACAGTGAAACCCCATCTCTACTAAAAATACAAAAATTAGCTGGGCATGGTGGTGCACGCCTGTAGTCCCAGCTACTTGGGAGGCTGAGGCAGGAGAATCGCCTGAATCTGGGAGGTGGAGGTTGCAGTGAGCCAAGATCGCGCCACTGCACTCCAGCCTGGGTGACAGAGTGAGACTCCATCTCAAAAACCAAAACAAACAAACAAATAAACAAAACTTACACACAGTAAGAAATTAACAATAATAAAATAGAACAATGATTACAATATGCTGTAATAAAAATTATGTAAATGTGATCTCTTTTTCTCAAAATATCTTACTGCTCTGTGCTCACCTACTTTCAAACCGTGGTTGACCATGAGTAACTGAAACCATAGATAGCAAACCTTGGATAAGAGGGGAGCTCATGGACCAAGCACCACAGAAGAATGTGCAGACCACCTCTGCCTTTGGTTTACGTGGAATGCCAACCCCAGCAAAACCCATCT